GCTTTGGCCCGTTTTGGGCTGCTTTGGCCCGTTTTGGGCTACTTTTTTTTGTTTTGGGCAAATTCGTCCCGTTTTGGGCTACTTTGGTCCGTTTTCGCCTACTTTGCCCCGTTTTGGGCTACTTTTTTTCTGTCCCATTTTGGGCTATTTTGGCCCATTTTGGACTACTTATTTTCTGTCTCGTTTTGGGCTACTTTGGCCCGTTTTGGTCTACTTCGGTCCGTTTTGGGCTACTTTGGCCCGTTTTGGACTACTTATTTTCCGTCCCGTTTTGGGCTACTTTGGCCCATTTTGGGCTACTTTTTTTCTGTCCCGTTTTGGGCTACTTTGTCCCCTTTTGAGCTACTTTGTTTCTGTTTTGGGCTACTTTTTTTCTTTCACGTTTTGGGCTACTTTGGCCCGTTTTGGTCTACTTTCATCCGTTTTGGGCTACTTTGGCACGTTTTGGGCTACTTTTGTCCGTTTTGGGATACTTTGGCCCGTTTTGGGCTAATTTGACACGTTTTGGGCTACTTTGACCTGTTTTGGGCTACTTTTGTCTGTTTTGGGCTACTTTGGCCCGTTTTGGTCTACTTTGGACCGTTTTGGGCTACTTTGGCCTGTTTTGGACTACTTATTTTCTGTCCCGTTTTGGGCTACTTTGGCCCATTTTGGGCTACTTTTTTTCTGTCCCATTTTGGGCTACTTTGTCCCCTTTTGCGCTACTTTGTCCTGTTTTGGGCTACTTTTTTTCTTTCACGTTTTGGGCTACTTTGGCCCGTTTTGGTCTACTTTTATCCGTTTTGGGCTACTTCGGCACGTTTTGGGCTACTTTTGTCCATTTTGGGCTACTTTGGCCTGTTTTGGGCTAATTTAGCCCCTTTTGGGCTACTTTGACACGTTTTGGGCTACTTTGACCTGTTTTGGGCCACTTTTGTCCGTTTTGGGCTACTTTTGTCGGTTTTGGGCTACTTTTTTTCTGTTTTGGGCAAATTCGTCCCGTTTTGTGCTACTTTGGCCCGATTTGGGCTACTTTGGTCCGTTTTGGGCTACATTGGCACTTTATGGGCTACTTTCTTGGGCTACTTTTATCCGTTTTGGGCTACTTTGGCCCGTTTTAGGCTACTTTGGTCCGTTTTGGGCTACTTTGGCCCCTTTTGGGCTACTTTTTTTCTGTTTTGGGCAAATTCATCCCGTTTTGTGCTACTTTGGCCTGTTTTGGGCTACTTTGGTCCATTTTGGGCTACTTTGGCCCCTTTTGGGCTACTTTTTTTCTGTCCTGTTTTGGGCTACTTTGGCCCGTTTTGGTCTACTTTGGTCCGTTTTGGGCTACTTTGTCCCATTTTGGGCTACTTTGGCCCGTTTTTAGCTACTTTTTTTCTGTTTTGGGCTACTTAGGTACGTTTTGGGCTACTTTCGTCCGTTTTGGGCTACTTTGGCCGCTTTTAGACTACTGTGGTCCGTTTTGGGCTACTTTGGCCCGTTTTGGGCTACTTTGTCCCCTTTTGGGCTACTTTGTCCTGTTTTGGGCTACTTTGGCACGTTTTGGGCTACTTTTGTCCGTTTTGTGCTACTTTGGCCCGTTTTGGGCTAATTTGGCCCCTTTTGGGCTACTTTGCCCCGTTTTGGGCTACTTTTTTTCTGTCCCGTTTTGGGCTATTTTGGCCCATTTTGGTCTACTTCGGTCTGTTTTGGGATATTTTGGCCCGTTTTGGGCTGCTTTGGCCCGTTTTGGGCTACTTTTTTTTTGTTTTGGGCAAATTCGTCCCGTTTTGGGCTACTTTGGTCCGTTTTGGGCTACTTTGCCCCATTTTGGGCTACTTTTTTTCTGTCCCGTTTTGGGCTATTTTGGCCCATTTTGGTCTACTTCGGTCTGTTTTGGGCTACTTTGGCCCATTTTGGACTACTTATTTTCTGTCCCGTTTTGGGCTACTTTGGCCCGTTTTGGACTACTTATTTTCTGTCCCGTTTTGGGCTACTTTGGCCCGTTTTGGACTACTTATTTTCTGTCCCGTTTTTGTCTACTTTTTTTTTCTGTTTTGGGCAAATTCATCCCGTTTTGGGCTACTTTGGCCCGTTTTGGGCTACTTTGTCCCCTTTTCGGCTACTTTGTCCTGTTTTGGGCTACTTTGGCACGTTTTGGGCTACTTTTGTCCGTTTTGGGCTACTTTGGCCCGTTTTGGGCTAATTTGGCCCCTTTTGGGCTACTTTGACACGTTATGGGCTACATTGACCTGTTTTGGGCTACTTTTGTCCATTTTGGGCTACTTTGGCCCGTTTTGGGTTACTTTGGTCTGTTTTGGGCTACTTTGGCACGTTTTAAACTACTTTTTTTCTGTCTCGCTTTGGGCTACTTTGGCCCGTTTTGGGCTACTTTGGCACATTTTAGGCTACATTTTTTCTGTACTTTGGCATGTTTTTTGCTACTTTGTCCTATTTTGGCCTTCTTTGTCCCATTTTGGGCTACTTTGGTCTGTTTTGGGCTACTTTGGCACGTTTTAGGCTACTTTGGTCCGTTTTGGGCTACGTTGGCCCTTTTTGTGCTGCTTTTTTTCTGTTTTGGGCAAATTCATCCTGTTTTGTGCTACTTTGGCCCATTTTGGGCTACTTTGGTCCGTTTTGGGCTACTTTTTTGGGCTACTTTCGCCAGTTTTGGGTTGCTTTGGCCCGTTTTGGGCTACTTTGGCCCGTTTTTAGCTACTTTTTTTCTGTTTTGGGCAAATTCGTCTTGTTTTGGGCTACTTTGGTCCGTTTTGGGCTACTTTGGCACTTTATGGGTAACTTTTTTGGGCTACTTTCGTCCGTTTTGGGCTACTTTGGACAACTTTTTGGGCTACTTTCGTCTGTTTAGGGCTACTTTGCCTGGTTTTGGGCTACTTTGGCCCGTTTTGGGCTATTTTTTTTCTGTCCCGTTTTGGGTTGCTTTGGCCCGTTTTGGGCTACTTTGGCCCGTTTTTAGCTACTTTTTTTCTGTTTTGGGCAAATTCGTCTTGTTTTGCGCTACTTTGGCCTGTTTTGGGCTACTTTTGTCCGTTTTGGGCTACTTTGGCTGCATTTGGACTACTTTGGTCCGTTTTGGGCTACTTTGGTCAGTTTTAGGCCAATTTGGCCCGTTTTGGGCTACTTTTTTTTCTGTTTTGGGCAAATGCATCCCGTTTTGGGCTACTTTCATCCGTTTTGGTCTGCTTTGTCCCGTTTTGGGCTACTTTTTTCCATTTTGGGCTACTTTGGCCCGTTTTGGGCTACTTTTTTTCTGTACTTTGGCATGTTTTGGGTTATTTTCGTCCGTTTTGGGCTACTTTGGTCGGTTTTGGGCAAATGTCTTCCATTTTGGGCTACTTTGTCCCGTTTTGGGCTACTTTGGTCCGTTTTGGGTTACTTTGGCCCGTTTTGCGCTACATTTTTTCTCAAAATGCTTTTCGGGGCCTGAAAACACTAAAAGTGACATGATGCTGTTTTCTGACCCACTAGTGATGGAAACCAGAGGAAACTGCCATGCTACTAAAGAATTCACCAAACCACATGTTTCTGGCTTCGAAATCGAAAAATGCTTTTTGGCGCTTGAAAACTCTAAAAGTTACATGATGCTGTTTTCTGACCAAGTAGTGATGGAAACCAGAGGAAACTGCCTTGCTACTATTGAATTCACCAAACCACATGTTTCTGGCTTGGAAACTTCTTTCTCAGCGCTTCTGGTGAAAAGTAACAGCCTAAGTGACAACATGCTCTCAAAATGCTTTTCGGGGCCTGGAAACACTAAAAGTGACATGAAGCTGTTTTCTGACCAACTAGTGATGAAAACCAGAGGAAACTGCCTTGCTACTATAGGATTCACCAAACCACATGTTTCTGACTTGGAAATCTCAAAATGCTTTTCAGGGCTTGAAAACTCTAAAAGTGACATGATGCTGTTTTCTGACCAACTAGTGATGGAAACCAGAGGAAACTGACTTGCTACTGTAGAATTCACCAAACCACATGTTTCTGGTTTGGAAACTCGTTTCTGAGTGCTTCTGGTCAATAGTAACAGCCTAAGTGACAACATGCTCTAAAAATGCTTTTCGGGAAATGAAAAAAATAAAAGTGACATGATGCTGTTTTCTGATCAACTAGTGATG